TATTATCAATTTTCACTTTGGCTTCTAATTTCCCAAAATTGATTTTGACAATATGAAATTGGAAAAGTAAACAACGGTGGCTTTCGTCAGGAAACAGTAGAAGAAAGTGATAAGCATGTTAAGTGGTATCTTTAAATATTACTTGCACGTGCCATTACCAAAGTTGCACGTGTTATACCCTTTCTGAACATCATACAAACACTACCCTAATGTGAGCCAGCAATTTACAAAAGGTTCAAATACGTGAGAATTAACTTCTAATATATTTGTATAAATATAAGAACACCGTCATCCAAATCAATATTTAACTAGTTAATTACATTGGCTTGAAGAAATGTGAAGTCAAACCCTAAACGTGGACTAAATATTAAAACAAAAAGGTCAAAATATGCTACTGCTGGAATGTGTATGCAAGGTATGGTGGTTCTGTAACGGTAATCTGGTTTCCGTAGACTGAATATAAGCGACTAGTTGGTTTTCTTAAGACTTTATATACGACCTGGCATCAATAATATTTCATCAACTTAATACAAGTTACAACTAAACCAAGTTTAGTTAATTTTATTCGAGCATATATATCGTTTTAGTACAGTTATTTCATTGGTTCTTGCCAAATAAAAAGCCTAATTTTGGTTTACACATTTACTTTGACCACTCCACTAACTAAAAACATACGTGCACATTATTAGCTCATCTCATGCACGCACGCAAGACTCCACGAACCTCCTATAAATACTCGCAGCATTCTTTTAAATCAAATCATCAAACCCAACCCTTTTCATTCATCTTGTTCTGTCTCCCATAACATAACACAATACAAAGACAAATATATGATGAAGTCTTTTACGACCTTTTTTCTTTTGGCCATGTTAATGGCTTTGGCCATTACTCTGTCAGCAACAACTTCCGAAACTGAAGAACCAAAGTCTCTCCGAGGAAGAAGCCGGTTCCTTTCGCAGAATGGAAGGGTGGCGTTGACATGTGACAAGAACCCTAAGATTTGCCTTATTAAAGGCAGCGCAGGCCCTGATTGCTGCTATTGGGAAAAAACTCAAGTCCCACATCGACTAGAGATTAGGCAATTGAATAGTATATAAGTGGAAAGCAACCCTCACCTTACAAGCCGGTTTTGTAGGGTTGAGTTAGGCTTAATCCACTATTCTAATATGGTATCAGAGCCATTTAGATCCACTTTAAATGGGCCACCCACCATTGATGCATGCCTCATAGGCATGAGGGGGTGTATTGGAAAAAAAACCCAAGTCCCGCCTATCCTAGATCATTAAAAAGGGCCACCCACCATTTATCCACGTACCAAGCCCAATAGTGCTGGACGTGAGGGGGTGTATTGGGAAAAAACTCAAGTCCCACATCGACTAGAGATTAGGCAATTGAATAGTATATAAGTGGAAAGCAACCCTCACCTTACAAGCCGGTTTTGTAGGGTTGAGTTAGGCTTAATCCACTATTCTAATAGCTGCACCAAAAAATGTGTTAACTTTTCCACAGATAGACTTAACTGCGGGAGGTGTGGAAAGAAATGCAGCTTCGGGAAGATATGTTGCGAAGGCAAGTGCGTGAACCCTAAGACTAACGAGAAGCACTGTGGAAAATGTGGTAACAAGTGCAACGCCAAAGGTTCTTGTGTTTATGGAATGTGCAGCTATGCATAGAATTTGAAACAGATTGACGAGCATTCTTTGGATCAATTGAATAAGAGATGGAGTAGCAGCAATTGACACTTGATGAGTTCCGCTAGTTATATTAAAATTTATTCTTTGCATTGATGATGACTTGGTTTGTACGAATGATGTATTTCCTTAATTGTTACCTCATTGTTGTGAAGAATAACTTGTAATTGTTTGTTTATATGAAATAAATAATTATGTGTTCCTTTATATATAGACATGTTTCTTCTTAGCATATCAAGGACGAATCCATGATTAAAGGGTTGAACCTAGCCATTGATGCCCAACTCTACCAAGAGTTTTGGATTTGTCGGTCGCTAAATGCAACTTTTTTGTGTAATGTGCTTAGCTTATTAAATGTCCATAAGCAAATGAAAAAACAATGACCTTGGGGGCAAAGTGAAATATAAATGAAGAATATGAATGTGTGTCAATTATCAAAGAAAGATGAAGATGGGCTGTTGAAATGTGTGATGAGCAATCCAGGAACAAAGATGTTAGATGTGTGTTAATGACGAAATGAAGACACAGAGAGAGTGGCTTTTAATTTGATATGTAGCCAATTTATGAACCTTTTAGCTAGGGGATAATTTTTATGAGAATTAATATATTAAGAGATAACTTATTTAATTGAAATTAATGACTAATTAATTTTTAAGTGTGAGAGAGTAATAAAAAAAAAATAGGAACATTATATATCAGAAATATTGTATAGGGACTCTAAACAAAGTGATTTTGTCTCCAATAATGTTCAAATTAAACTATTCACCAAAGAAAAACTACACCTTCATGACTATATATTACACTAGATAAACTAATAATAATAATTGTATATATATTAATACTATATAAATTTTTTTAGGGTGTCTAAAGCAAGGGGTGGGGTAGCCTTATGCGAGGGTTGGCCATAAGTAACTAATACAAAAAATGTTTTTATCATCAGAAATTTATGTTAGTTCCTAGAAAATCAATGTGTAGTATGTGAAGAGGTGATATTTTGATTATACTGAATTAAACATTCTTAATTGGTTAAAATTGATCTAGAAAAATCTTTCTATATCAATCATACTATAATGTAAAAAGTACTTTTAAAATCAATTCATTACCAAAGCGAATCTAGAATGTGGATGCTCTTTTAACCTTTTGAAATTATTGATAAAACGTTCTAAAAATGATTGTATAATTATAAAAATAAATAAATAAATAAACATTTTTTTTTGTTAAAAGTGTTTTTTAAAAGTTTATCTAACGCCTATTGTAAGATCCTTTATTAGGTAGAACTGATTAGATTCGACCTATACTTCTTAGAGCCCAAAATTCAGAACAATATTCTTTTTCCAACCCCACTAGCATGTATATATATATATATATATAATGAATCTATTTATTTAAGGAGTAAGTCTATTTAGATTTACTTCGTTAAATAACTCATACTTTACATTAAATTTCAATAATTCAATCGTTGAATTTAAAATTTTTGGTATATAGATCAAATTTGTAAATTTTTTTAAAATTTGAAAACCATTTAATACTTCTTTTCATTAATTCAAATCAACATATAAATTTTTTTATGATTATCTGTCAATTTGAATTAATGAAATATAGTATTAAATGATTTTTAATTTTTTTTAAAATTTATAGATTTGATTTACATATTAAGAATTTCAAACTCAATGATTGGATCATTGAAATTTGATGTAGAATATGAGTTATTGAATAGAATAAATCTAGATAAACTTACTCCTGAAGTAAACGGATCCCTCCTCTCTCTATATATAATAAATTTTAGAATGTTTTAATTTGAAATCGTATTTAGTTGGCAATATTGAAAAGTAAACAATGATACCAAACTTGGCCTTCTTTTAGGAACAAAAGGCGAAATTAAATGATATACAACATGTTAAGTGGTATTACACGTATACGTACGCTACATTTCAAATTAACAGTTTATTAAAACCCCTACAGCCTCGCAAAAAATATGACAAGCCATGGAATATAGCGGGAGACATTACAAGAAAATTTTTATATAATAACATAAAAATTGTCACTAAAAATTATTTTTACCTATACAATAAATATAATATATATTAATATATTGTTAAAAAGTGTGAATATAGGCTATAATGACACATAAAATATGTTGTTAAATCTCATTTAAAATCAACATTAAAATTGTGTGTAATTATATGAAAATAGATATATATACTTACATATATTATACTTATAGTAATACTTTTTGTATATTATTATATGTAACATTTCTTATAATGAAAGAAAGAAAAAGCAAAAGAAATGATCATGGGTGTGACTAAAAAAAAGTTTATGAATTTCATGAAATATACTAAAGTTATTATAAATATTCATTAAATCATAAATTGCATAGCAATTTATAAATTCAAAAATCAAATATTCTAAATTGTCATTAAATCATAAACTGCTATGTAATTAAAGTTATTAATTTTTATAATAATTATTTTAAAAAACGTGAATGTAAAAAACTCTTAGATTGAAAACGTATCAAAATTAAACTCAAACTAAACTTCTTTCTTTTGAATTAAAAAAATACCGTCATCAAAATTAATTTGTTACTTACATATTGACTTGAAGTATATATGAGAAGTCAAATTAATTCGTTCTTTCAAAGGTCAAACTGTGCGGGTTGGAATTTATGGACAGTATAGTGGTTCTGTATCCGTTTTCTGGTTCCCGTATAAACTGTGTTGTATATAAACGACTAGTTGCTTTTCGTAAGACTTTATATACGACCTGCCTTCCGTAGATCATCAACTTTATTACAAATTAAACCAATAATATAGTTAACATCATTCATGGATATATCGTTTTAGCACAATTTTTTTATATAATTAAGAAGTATAACTTCATCCTATCATCTATATCCAAGTGATAGTGATATTTTTGGATAATTGGATAGACTTTATATATATATATATATATATATATCAAGACAAAAATTAAACTCTAATCTTTAATTAAAAGAATATATTTATTGAGTTACTTATACTAATAACTTGAGGTCATTTTAGCAATGTTATTACATTGGTTTTCGGATATGTTTCCTTCATTTTCAGCTGATTAGTTTATAGTAATAAAGTTTGAAGCTCTTGCCAAAAAAAGCCTAACTTGGTTACACATGTTACTTAATTTGGCCGTTGATTTAGACCACTACTAACTAGCAATATACACGCAGACTATTAGCTCATGCACGTAATCTATGCAATTAATGTCCTGATCAACTCCACGAACCTTCTATAAATACTTGGATTTGGAGAATCAAAATATCCACCCCATTACTTCATCAAATCTTCTTCTATCTCCTTATAACACAAACACACCAAAATATAATGATGAAGTCCTTCAAGACCCTCTTCCTTGTGGCCATGTTAATGGCTTTGGCCACTACTCTGTCAGCAACATCTTCAGAAACTGAAGAACCAAAGTCTGTCCGAGGAAGAAGCCGGTTCCTTTCGCAGAATGGAAGGGTGGCGTTGACATGTGACAAGAACCCTAAGATTTGCCTTATTAAAGGCAGCGCAGGCCCTGATTGCTGCACCAAAAAATGTGTCAACTTTTCCACAGACAGACTTAACTGCGGGAGGTGTGGAAAGAAATGCAGCTTCGGAAAGATATGCTGCGAAGGCAAGTGTGTGAACCCTAAGACTAATGAGAAACATTGTGGGAAATGTGGAAATAAGTGCAACGCCAAAGGTTCATGTGTTTATGGGATGTGCAGCTATGCATAGAATTTGAAACAGATTGACGAGCATTCTTTCGACCAATTAAGATTGATCATTTTGATTTGTGATCCACAAAGCAGCCATCAGCACTTGAGGAGTGCTGCTAGTTATATTAAAATTTGTTCTTAATCTGCATTATTGGTTTGTACGAATAATATATTTCTTAATTGTTAATTACCTGATTGATTCTTGTAATTGGTTTTTATTTTTTATATATGAAATAAATAATTACATATATGTTCCATTTTTATAGAAATGTTTCTTCTTGGCATCATGGACTATATATTCCATGATATTTAATTTAAATACTTTTTTTTAAGTAATCTAGACAACTATATATATAAAATATTTACTAATTTTATCAATAATTAATGTTTGTTAAAAAAATTTGATTAATCATCTTAGTGAAATCTCTTTTTCAATTCACATTTTTTTCTCTTATAAAATTCAAATTCAAAATCTTAAAAAAAATTAAATTTAATATGATTTAAATCAATGATTACTTATTGATAAAATAACAATTAGGAATGACAAAAATACACGCATCCGCGGGTATCTGCGAGTAAAATCTATTATGAATAATAAATGGATAGACTAATTAGGTACCGGCGGATAATGGGAACGGATAATTTTTTACCTGTTTATAAACGGGGCGGGGGCGGATATGATGATATCCATACCTGCGGATACCCGTTTAATAATATTTCTTAAATATCATAATTATCCTTATACATCATAACTCTAAAACTACACTCTCTCATCTTTGTGATATGAGATTTTCACTTACTTGGAGATTGATGTATTTTAAGTTATTGATTATCTAGTATTTTTATTATTATTTCAACAAAATTAACGTTAAATACAAGTTCAAAATTAACATTGAATTTTTATTTTTAATATTTCAATGACATTAAATATAAACTTAAAATTATTTGTAATATAATTTTTTTAATTTCTTAAAAAATTTATAAATATCAATGGATATTCGTGGATATTCAAAAAATTCATGGATACCCTCGCGCTTAATAGATACCCGCAAAAATATGGGATGAGTATGGAGCCAATTTTCATCCAGCGCGACAGGAACAAAGTTACTATTACCCGCCCCATAGGACCCCATTGTCATCCCTAGTAACAATATGTGTATATGTATATCTATATTGATATAATAAAATATTGTATTTCTCTCAATAATTAAATTAAGGAGCACCTTATAATGATCTCTCTGTTAATTAATTATGGTTAGCAATGCATGCAAATGGGGAGGAATCGGTTGATAAATCTAAAATTTATGTATATATACCAAAATAATTAAGAAATGTACTAAAAAAAAAAGAAGGCGAATAATTTATAACAGCAATAACATGTCCAAGTGCGTGAAATCAACGAGTACAAATGATATAATAGCCTCCGAAAGGCGCATTAACCAAACTTTTCTGAGTAATTGTTAAATTTAAAATAAACTGTACACCCACAAAACATTTGAATAATTATAATATGAGTTAATCACCTCCCCTATACATCATCAGTGTAAAGTTTTTTTATATTGACAACTAATTATATCTTTTAATTGTGTTATGTCACTATTAAAAGTAAATGTATTTATAATGATATAACACAATTAAAAGATATAATTAGTTGTCAGTGTAAAAAAACTTTACACTAGCAGTGTATAGGTGATTAACTCTTATAATATTATATGAATTTAAACTTATTTGTTTAATTAAAAACTTTATAAAAAAATTAAGATGGTTATTTTATAGAATAACTTTAATGACACTCTCTATATTACTCTATTACTTTCTTTGTTTATATACATAAAATTCAATTACTTAATTCACCTAAATTAAAAAAAAAAAGTAATTAATTTAGTTAATAATTATAAATTTTTCTATTTATATATACCTTTTTTCTAAAACTATCATATACTACTTCTTTTTCTTAATTAATACTTATATCTTTAAACAAATTAGAGCGAAATCCTATATTATTTATCTCCCCTAATTAATATTATTTTTTATTTAATCAATTAGAGTGTATGTTTTTTAAAAAATTTGTAATTAATACATTTTATTAAATTAAGAAAGTATATTTTAATTAAAAATATTTTTATTTAAAAATAATTAATATGAGATGATATATATTAGATCTTTTATAAAGAAACAAATAATTATTTTAAATTAAGTCTTATCAATAAAAATGAAAGTGGTATTAAAAAAATTATTAAAAATTATAAATTGTATAAATCCCACATCACATTTAATAAGTTTTTTTAATTAGTGATATAACTTATCAAAGTTTATGATTTTAAATCAATAATAAAGAAAATACTAATGAGAAAGAATTAGATTGACTTAAAAACCTTTTTTAAATTTATTTTTATCTTCTAAACCTAATACTTTTGACTTTGTTGACATATAGATGAGCAAAGTTGAATTCCAAGGCGGAGCAGTAAATTATTCAACCCCTAAATTTTTATTATTACCCCATAACAGCCCCCAATAAATATCTTGGACTTGGGTTGATTATTGTCGACTAGCTGTGCTTTTTTTAATTTTACACCAGAAGGGAAGGTCAGAGAGAAGGAAAGAGCAGTGCCTCTGTAACGGTTTTTTGGTTTATTCCATTCCAGGAAAGACAGACTGCGTTTCCTTTATACTTTTGTACAAGCAATTAAGTGTTCCTTACGACACTTGTTAATTTCAGTAGCAAAATACAAATTAAAACCGATTGAACCCTGTGAGTAGTAGCTAATCTATACAATCACGAATCACGATCTGCATAACAACACAACAAAACGACTTCTCATCGCATTTTCTGGACACTTCACATTTTTTTTCCACGTATTTTAGACTTGGTTTATACGTGCAGAAAAAGCCTATCTAATTTCGTTACTTAACCACACATTTAATTAGCTAGCAGTTGAATTAGACCACTCCACTAACACACAGTTTGCAGCTTTCCAATTCATACTATCACGTAACATAAGCTCATTGAATTTCCTCCATTCCTTCTTTATATATAGCCACCAAGCACCCTTCTTTTCCATCCAAGACAATACCATTATCTTACTTTATACAAAATATGAAGTTCATTCAGATACTCTTCGTTCTGGCCATGCTAATGCCTTTGGTCATTGCTGATTCAGAAACACAAACACCACACAAAGAAGAATCACGATTCCTCACTTACGTTAAAAACCCCGCAGCCCCATCTTCTGAAAGTGAAAAATTTGCCTCTCTCCGAGGCGTGCATGGCCATAATAAAAATGTGCATGGGGTCATGACTTGTGATAAGTACCCTAGAGTTTGTCGTGTTAAGGGCAGCGAAGGGCCTGATTGTTGCCGCAGAAAATGTGTGAATGTCTCAACGGACAGAAACAACTGTGGCATGTGTGGAAAGAGGTGCAAGTACTCTCAGGTGTGTTGCAAAGGTAAGTGTGTCAACACCATGTTCGACAAGCACCATTGTGGAAAATGTGGCAACAAGTGCAACAAAGGGGATTCCTGCGTTTATGGTTTGTGCAGCTATGCGTGAATCAATTAATCATGGGGGACATTCACTCCGAACGTATGCCAATAATTAACTAATTAGTTTTCATTATTATTTGGTTATATTTAATTATTTATAGAATTAAAGATATAATGATCGAGAAAAATGTAATCAATTTGTTGTATGTGACTAAATAAACGAGCGCAAGTGATCATTATAGGATGATAGATGATCTTTGCCGCTGTATGATAATTTCAGTCCATCTGTTGTGTAACTATGATTTTTTCATCGGTTGTAGTTGAATAAATTAATTCTTATATTTATAGCTGTTAAAAAAAACGAGTTTATCATATGAGTAAAAAAACACTAACCCTTGTACTCAAGAATCCCCTGCACATCGTCAGAAGTAATCCTTACAATAAAAATGATTTACATACATAACAAAGGGCGAAAATACTAATTTGAAATAGAAACAGAACTTGGATGTAACCCGAGGCCGTGAGCGCAATTTAATTAGATACTTAAGCTTGAAAGTAATTTTATTAAGGTGTAACCAAATTGAGCAAAAAGTTGTAAGCCAAAGCACCCCTAAATTTTCATTAATTGATTTATAATCGAGCATATATGGACGAAATAAACTCTAGAGCCAAGCCAAGCATAAAGTCTAGATCACATTTTGAAAGAAAACTTTTATCAGGGAATTTAATTGAAGTTGTGGTTTCGATTTCATCTCTATAGTCGAAAATGCGAGAAACTATAGACAAATGCATTTATATGGGGGTGGAATTATGGCCTAGTTGCGTTTGTTCTTGATTATATAAGGTTAAATTATATTTTTAGTCTTTTATTTTTTATATTTATTTTGATTTTTTAATCTTTTTTTAAAATTTATTTTACTCATTTATCTTTTAAAATATTTATTTTCGTTCTTTATTTTCTAAATTTGAGTTGATTTATTTTTTTAAAATAATTATTGATTTCAACTTTGAGATACAATTTTGAATATTTTTTTAATTGGTTCAAGACTTGAAACTTATCTCATTAGATTTACTTATATAAAATTTATAAGATATTAGTGAAGTCAAGGCATTTTGTGACTCTATAAAATTACCAATGTTTGTTATCAATATTTAAAAGTGTTTAAAAATTATCAATACTTGTTAGATCAATTGGTGGTATTTGATCCTCAAACCTAAAAGGCAGTCCAAGTCTTATATTTGTAAGAATAATTAATTTTTAATATTATTTTTATAATTAAAAATTTTAAGGATAAAATCCTTTAAAAAATATGTACACCAAATAAAGAAATTTCCCTTATTATATGTTATAGATAACTTAAGTTCAAGATAAAGTACTATAAATATCATAAAAATTGCATAAAGATAAGTTAGAAAACAACCAAAAAAAGTTTTAAAAAATCTAATTTCATATTTTTTTAATTGTTTGTCGAATGTATTTTTCACTTTATTTTAACTATATTTATAATCTTTTTATATTCCAACGACAATTGAATTTCATATTTTTAAATAAATGAATCTAGTATTATAAATTTCACATTAAATCAGTCAAAAATTGATTCAAAATTATGTCACAAAACAAAAAATAATTTTTATTTAAAAGAATCAAATTAATTTAAATATAAAAGATAAATGATCAAAATGAATATTCTAATAAATAAATGACTAAAATAAATCTAAAAATATAACATAAATGATAAAAATATAATTTAGTCTATATTAAATATATTTATTTTAATTATAGCTCTTTCGGCTCATGGGGGCAGTTGGCCCATTACAGAGTCAGGTGGGCCATAAAATTTGTAGCCCAAAAGAAATTCAAGCTGACCAAATCTACCAGTTTTCACACCCTGACATACCGAACTTGGACTGGCGGCCCAAATTTTCACCTCCACGTTCTTCTAATAAAGTTATTTAAAGTCTCTAAACTAAGTTTCGCACCTAATATAGTAAATTTACATTTGATTTTGTACCAATTTCAAGATATGTTAATCTGTCAAAGATATATATCTTGTTTATTTATTGTGTATGGTGAGCATGTTTAATTCAAGACTGTCCACTACTAACTATTAATATTATATTTTCCTGCAACATAACCCCATGCCATCTGATGAATTGGTCATTTTGATTCTAAAATCATGAACACAAGATTCATGAATGAGTTTAAGGTCGCTGTTTCGGAACAATAGGAAAGATACATACATTACAATATCATCTAGTCAACCGACCCACGTCTTTGTTTTGTTAGCCAATGTGCATCAATTAATTCTTGACGAGTAAAACAATTTCACAGCACACCCTTCATCAATCGTGTGCACCACCTTCTCTACTCATATAATATATATAACTCTTTTAGCCATTTGCTGACTCAAACCTAAAGCCATGGCCACTTTAACCACTCTCCTAGTGCTGATCTCATGCTTTCTAGTACCCACCTTGGCTTTAACACCGAATAGAGATTCAACAAAGGAGTTCAAATCCCTCTATCCAATCCCAAGCTACATCACCAAGAGCCCCAATAATGTTATCATAAACACAATAGACTCATGTTGGCGAGCAAAAACAAATTGGGCTTCTAACCGCCAATCCTTGGCTGATTGTGCAATTGGCTTTGGCAAAGATGCCCTAGGAGGAAAGTTTGGAGATATATACCAAGTCACTGACCCCTCTGATGACCCTATAAACCCAAAACCTGGCACACTCCGCTATGGTGCAATCCAAACACAACCCCTTTGGATAACTTTCTCCAACGACATGGTTATAACGCTGAAGAACGAGCTCATGGTGAATAGCTACAAGACCTTTGATGGAAGAGGTGCCAACGTGGAGATTGCAAATGGTCCTTGCATTACCATACAAGGTGTTAGCCATGTCATCATACATGGAATTAGCATTCATGATTGTAAACCGGGTAAGGGTGGAATGGTGAGAAGCACTCCTGAGCATGTTGGGTATCGTGAAGGGTGTGATGGAGATGGCATTAGCATATTTGCATCCTCTAATGTGTGGATTGACCATTGCTTTTTGGCTCGTTGCACCGATGGTCTCATTGATGTTATTCATGCCTCAACTGCTGTCACCATCTCTAACAACTACTTCACCCAGCATGACAAAGTAAGAAAAAAAAAAACAGCTTCTCTCTTTTTTAACTTTTTCTTGTCATAATAATATGCTTTGGATTAAATTAACTACTAAATCTTGAATTATTACCAAATTTTTAATTAGCTCTTCAAACTAAAAATCATGTGATTGATTTAGGTATAATTAGATTCAGTTTTTTAAATAAGATCCCAAATTTGAGTATTATGATAGAAAAATATATATAGTTAAAAAAAATAATAAGATTCTTTTGAAAAAAATTAATTATTAAGAAAATTAGTGAATATTTGATTTTATATTCCTACATGTCTCTTGAGTCTTGACAAATTAACCACTATTCCGGCCAAACGAATTTTCTCATCACCATATATTCCAGATCCAGCGCGCATATTAAGGAATAAGAACCATCTGTTTTAAGATGATTTGGTGATTAATTTTGCTAAATGCACTCCTTTGCAGGTGATGCTTCTAGGACACAGCGATGAATACAGCGCAGATAGAATAATGAGAGTAACAGTAGCTTTCAACCGCTTTGCCAGTGGCTTAATAGAAAGAATGCCAAGGTAATTAAGAGTACTGCATGGTTGGATATATAGATAATGAATCACTTAAAATTTTCATATTTACTTATTTGGTTGATGAGATGCATGCAGAGTAAGGTTTGGTTATGCCCATGTGGTGAACAACCGCTATGAGGAGTGGCTCATGTATGCCATTGGTGGCAGCGCCAACCCTACCATTCTTAGTGAAGGCAACTATTTTATGGCTTCAGATGATCCTGTTGCAAAACAGGTAAGAGAGGAATTCAAAATTAAATAAAGGGCAAAGGTCATACATACATTGTAATAATTATACACTAAGGGTGGTTCATTTCATTGGTTGATGACATGCAGGTCACGAAGAGGGAAAGTAGTGAACAGTGGAATAATTGGAAATGGAGGAGTTTTGGGGATGAATTCTTAAATGGTGCTTATTTTGTGCCATCAGGGTATGGAAGTTGCACTCCATTATATTCACCTGCTCAAACTTTTGTCGCGGCCCAGGCATCCATGGTGCCCTTGTTAACTCTCAATGCAGGGCCACTCAATTGTGTTGTTGACAAAGCTTGTTAACGTTTTTCATTTTATTTATTTATTTTAAGATGTTTCATGAAGGCATGCATTATGCGTGGAAATTAAGAAGAATTAATTGTATTCAATCCATTTTCACAAACATATGTATGAGTGATGATATATAACGTCAGGACCCTGGGATTTTTCATTAGGTGTCCATCAAGTACAATTACTTAATTATGTGTATATATATATCTAGTTAATTTTGTTTTATGAGAGTAAACTATTGAAATGTTTAATGATAATGGAAGTTGTCTCGCAAGTCATTAATAAGTTTGAAGCATTATCTTACAGAACCATATATTACACGGTATAATGCTATGATTTATACAACCCGTAACTTGATAGAAAAGGAATTATATATGACTAGATTTATTAACGAGATTTTGTGCTTGAATATATTTTCAACTATCTTCACAAAATAATGATAGTGCCGGCTCAATTAATTTATTTAACTTGTTATTTTATAGTGGATTAAGTTACAAAATATATATGACATATTATAACACCCTAGTTTGTATAACTGGCCTAATATAATTTGTAATTAGCACAGGGATTGAACTTCTAGCTAATTTTATTTCTCGGACTTACTTGCATTTTTTATTTTTAAAATATCTAGCGAAATTTGTATCTAAGATTTTCTTTTTACAAATTTTGACTCCTCAACTTATAAAATATTGCAAATTTTGCCTGTCACGGTTTAAAGAAATAGATGTTACAAACTCTATATAGTATAAAGGTAATAACTTTTTCACTCCAAAACTTCATTCAATAATTTTCTTCAATTTATTTTTCTCTAATAATCATTTTCTTCAATAAACTTCCTTCCAATAAATATGTCCTAAATATTTATTCCCTCCGATAACTCTCTCCTAAATATTTTTATATATAAATTAATATTATTATAAACTAAACTACTATTGAAAATAATTAAAATAAATAAATTTACAAAAACTGCTACTCAAAATATTTTTTAAAAAGAAATATATAAATCAAAGAAAATATATCAAAATAAAATAAAAATTTTGGATAAAAATATTTTAATAATTATTAATCATTATTAGATTTTCATAATATTATTAAAAAAAACTACAATTAAAAATAATTAAAAAGATAAATAAATATTATAAATTAATTATTAATCATTATTACATTTCTGTAATAATATAAAATAAACAGTTATAGAAAATAATTAAAAAAAACAAACATTTATTTTTACTTCCCCTTAATAGTTCCCTCCAATAAAATATTATAACTACAAAGCTTCCCTCTAGTATATTTTTATATACAAGTGTTATAAAATAAAATAAAATTTTATTGTTTATGTAATTATATGATATAATAAGACATTAATATAAAAAATAAAAAAACAAAAAAAACTGTAACAGTATAATCAAAATTAATTATAATAATTTTAAATTATTACAATTTTAAAGTAAAAGTAATATATATATATATATATATATAATATTCTAATATTAATATAACAGACTGTAACTGTGGAATAAAATATTAATTACATTAATTTATTAGTTATTGATGATTTTAAAATAAATTAAAATTAAAAATGCACATAAAAAATAAAAATTTATTACAACTTTTTGATATATTACTTTTCACCAAATTTTTCTATAAAATTCACATAAATATATATAAAAAAATTATTAACATAATAAACTGTAATGACATGATATAAATTATAATAAACAATTTGTTATAATAATTATTAATTATAAACAGTTTTAAATTAATGCAAATAATTATGTATATTTTTAAAAGAATATAAATAAAAAATTCTCATGATTTTTTATACTAAATTTACGTCAATAAATTTTCATTTAATATTAATATTAGAACTATAAAGGTATAGTAAAATATTAAAATTTTTCATGATATTAATTATAAATTTATTTTTTTAAAATAACGTATATAAAGGTATACGTATATTTTTATTAATAAAATAATTAAAAAATTATATCTTTATATATATATATATATATTAACTTAATGAAATACTAATTATATTAATTAATATTTATCAAAGATTTCAAATAAATTAATATTATAAAAATTTTACAAAAATTATTTTAAGAAAATCCATTTCAATATTTACATAAATCATTTATATTTAATTGCAACTAATTGTATATATTAAATTTGGATGATGATTAGTATGTCATTTAATTCAGTCATTAAAAGTTATTATTTTAAATTTTGTTAAAATTATCATGATTTTATATTTTAGAGAGATAAATATAAATATATATATATATATATGTTATAGGACCAAAATCAAAATCTACCTATTTTATAATGCCAAAAATATATTACAAAGAATAGAAATAATATTTACAAATTTTTTAAAAAAATAGAGAGAAAAAAATTCAGGAACCAAAAGGTAAAAATATATTTAAAACTTAATTATATTACAAAGACTAAAAAATAATATTTACAAATTTAAAAAAAAATTAAAACAAATATATATAAAAAAATCAAGAAGTAAAGGTGAAATTCACTTATTTTATATACATGAAAATATGTTTAAATTTTAATTACATTATTATTTACACACGTAAATCCTTGACTGCTTTTATTATTAATTAAATTTAAAATTTATTGTTTCATTATTATTTTATTACGTTTAAAATTTTCTTTTTGAATAATCTTAATGGCTTAGTAATTTGATTGTTTGGTATGAATATAATATTAAATAACTATAAACTCAAGTTTTTGTGAATTTGGTATTTGAATTTTTGTCCTTTTTATTATTACGTTAATTGATATACTTGTAAATACATAACAATTGTATACTTGGTTGGTTTAATATTTTTTTTAATTTGTAAACTAAAAAATTAATAAGTGAATAAATATTCAAATTGACCCATAAATTTTGTAGGGTGCAATCATATCATAGTCTCCAAAACAAATAAGTTAAAAAAAAATATCTAAAAGTACAAATTCACAACCATATTAACCCAAAACTCAAAAAAAGAATGTGATTAGAATAATATATATATATATATATATATATATAATGAATTTG